ACAGTATTTGAGGGCCTTTTTTGAAAATCGGGGATACCACTGTTTTCTTAAAGCAACTTGGAAATGTTCCGGAAAGTAGGGAAGAGTTAATTAAATGAGTAATGATGTTGATAATGCTAAGTTTCACTTGTTTTAATAATTTAGGGGAGACGTCGTCAAGTCCAGGCGAGCTGTTGGAGTTTATGTTCTTAAAGAGGTTGAGTACTTCTTCTTCAGAAAATGGAGACATGAAGATTGAGTGTTTGCTGATTTCCAGATGGGATGTTGGAAGATTAATATTTGGTATTGATTCTCGAAGTCGTATGGGTGCATTATAAAAGAACTTATTGAAGATCTCGGCTATCTCTGAAGGAGAAGTAACAGGTACTCCCCGCTTATCTTTAAGTTCAATGGTTTTATGGGGCTGAGTTTTTCTTTCACTTAGCGAATTGAGGACTTTCCACGTGGCTTTACTCGTATTTTCCGCATTCCTAATAAAAGAGTCATAGTAATGTCTTTTTGTGGTATTTACAAGATTCCTGTGAATTTTTTTCATTACTTGATACCTGTTCTTTAGTAGAGGAAATTGTTTTTGCAGGACATACATATCGTTCAGCTTAGCATTTGACTCTCGGATTTGAGTCGTGATCCAGGGTTTAGTGTTTGGATTCTGTCGAAATTTTTTTAACGGAAAACATATATTGTGGTAATATTGAAAGGTAGTAATGAAATTGTGAAATTTTGCATCGATGTCGTCTACGATATAGATTTCAGACCAATCTTCGTTTGTTAAATACGATGAGAAGCGCTCAATGTTCTGTTTGGAGAAGCATCTTCGTAGCATGTCACTTGCATGATGGTTTGGAGTCATTTGTAGACTACAGGTAATTGTAATTACTCGATGATCAGAAAAATAAACGTCATGTACCTCACTTTCTATTGGTATAGATGCATTAGTACAGACGTTATCAAGTATCGAGCTAGCATATTTGCTTACTCTTGTGAACGTGTGAACTGTTTCTAGAAGATTAAACGACATCAAAAGGTCTTTTAATGCCCTGTATTTTCCATCATTTGCTCCAAAGTTTACATTGAAGTCGCCTACCAAAAACAATGCTATATTCGGTTCGTAAACATAATCTATTACTGCGTTCAAGTAGCGAAGAAAAGCTTTATAGTCTCCGGATGGAGATCTATAAATCGTATTATAATTGTGAATTTTAAGCACCCGAAATGACCTTTACACGCACATATTTCCAGTATTTTATCACTGCATTGGTGCCACATTAACATCAGACCGTGCCCAAATTGCACATCCACCACCTTTTGCGCATTGTCTATTGAAAGCACTAATTATATTATATTTAGAGATTTTACATATGTCTAATTCATGATTTGTTAACCAAGTTTCAGTCACACACAAAAATATTGGTTCGTTAATACCTGCAAGTCATTCACTTTATTCTTTAAACTTTGAATATTTAATAATATTAGAAATGTCGATGACAAACACTGGGATTCCGCGATTATATTGGTTAGGTTGGAGTATTCCGGTTGACCAGCCGGAATAAAAAATTGTTCATGCGTGTGCCTTTTGGCCACAGATCTGGTTTTTTCAATGCCTCGAATTGATCGCTTGGAACTGAGACTCTGAACGAGCTGTAATCATCAGGGCGTTTTGCATTTAATTTTTCACATTTTGCTTCTGCGAAATTGTTGTCCGCTAAGTACTTAATTATTTGAGCCGTCGTAACGGTGGGATCTAAATTGTAGACATGCAAGTGGGAAAAATTTTTTGCCGCTTTAATGGTTGTATCTTCACCTGAGCCTTCCAGTATAGGTTTTTTTTGATTTTTTCCTTCTTGTGACTTCAGTAAACCCCTCCGAATCCATTTGTGAACCTCGTGGAAACATTTGACTTGCATCTCTTGAGGATGTATTGCTTTTAATTGAAAGATGAGTATTACTGTTGGGATTCGGTTGTTGTACAGTAGCATTTGCTACTGTATTGATTTGCTGATTGGCATTTACGATTGGACTTAACGCTAGTCATTTTAATTGGTTGTGTAGTTAATTCAGGTGGAAATTGATACCCTGCAGTTATTGCAACATTATCATTATTGGGTTTTTTAATGTTTTGAATATTTTGCCGGCCTGTATCTGTTGTGATAGTAGACGCGACCTTCGAGTACGATACGGTTTGTGGTTTGCATACGCTTTCGTTGAGCTTATGTATTTCCAATTTGACATGACGATTTTCTAATTTAAGTGAATTTAATTCATTCTTCAGAGCTACCACTTCCGGGAGGAAGAGATTTTTGAAGACGTATTCCATGCTTTGTTGGATTAAATCGGGAATGGTAGTGTACAATTCTGCGTTCCTACTTACATATTCGGGTACGCAAGTTGACACATCACTCTTATTAGAGCATAAATTGCAGCACCATTGGTTAATTTGACCGGTGTTTTTTAGTTCCATCATTTTGTTTTCACTTATATCCACGCATTCGATATGAAAACAATTTAAACAAATGCCTGTGCATTGAATAAAGTTCCCACAATTCGTTATAGAATTATCACAAACACGACACGCGCGCGCCATGTCTGAACTCCAATTAAAAATCTTTAAAATTTTAAGCGCAAATCAGCTTTGGTTACAATTTTTTAAAACACTGAATGCTCATTTATACTCAGAGTTATTGAAAATTGCCTAGTACTTTTTTTGCATTCCTGCTCATAATGCCAATGTTGAAACAATATTTTCACTAGTGGCATAACAGTGGACAAAAGAAAGAAATTTATTGAGTATTGAAACAGTCTCGTCAGTGATAAAAATAAAGTACAATTTCAAAGACTATAAATAGTGTAGATTTTTAAAGATATTCTAAAGGCTATTGGAAAGACGGATAAATACCGAAGATCTAAAAAGTAAATAGTTCCTTAAACATTTTATTTTATTAAAAGACCAAATTTTTGTTTTATTTAAAAATTATTGTTATTAGCTTTAGTATTTTATTTTGTTAAAAAAGTATATTGTTGCTTCATTTAAATAATTTAAAAATGTAGGTACCGTTGCTGATTCCTAACAGTTAAAGAAGATTTTGTTTGGTGATAAAGTACGCTTTGTTTTATTTAGAAAAATAAATTGTTTGTGTTATTTCTTTAGACAATATTTTTTATCAAATTCATTTGATATGTCCGGCTTTATAATCCCTAAATCCGGGGTTTTCACGCTTCCTGTCCTAGTTGGCAGAGTTTTGAGATGGCAACCCTAGTCACACCGAGGGCATGGTGTGCCGCTTTGGAAGATCTGCTTTAGACGGGGTTTATTTCTTATCTCTATGTTACTCATTAGTTTGGGGTTTGCGTTGTTTGTTAGTCAGAATTGATGATAAGTAGTTTAAATAGTTTTCGAGGTAGTTTTAATTTTCACACCCTTTAGTATTCATTGCTCTTTGTGTTTTCTTTTCGGTTCGCCAAAATTTTTTTAATTTTTACACCAAACATATATTTTAACTTTGTCAATGTTGCAATATTTTTGAAGTGATATTTACCTAAACAATTAAAACTAACAAAAATAGAACCAAATTTGTATACTAAACTTGGCTACAGACTGCAATTTAAAGTTATTAGGGTCCCAGAAAAATGAATATACCTAAATTATGAAACCTACCAAATTAGTTGATATTATATGTATAAATTTTACTACTATTAGTTTTTCCATGCTGTTAATTTAAGTTTTAAATAATAATATTTAATGTAAACATAAATATTTTGTAAAATATTGCAATGTCCCGGTGTCTTCATATAGCCGTTCCACTGCGCGGCGGCTCTTCAGTGTCGAGATCTTGAGTAAAACGGTATAGGATACCCTGAGATATGCCCTTTCAGTCCAGTGAAGGAAGTCAGGGTCGCTTGGTTTCTTGAAGTGTTCAATTATTTTTGGGATTTCGGTGTTTTCTAACTGGTCGTTTCGTATATCGCTGGCTGGGCGGATTGGAAGGTCAATGCTGATGGTGCAGATGAGGCCTGCGTGTCTGCGATGACGTTTTGCTTCCCTGGGGTATATTCGTAGCTTATGTTGTGCGCTTGGGTTGCTAGTGCTAGTGGTGGCAATGGCAGTGGAGTAGGTGGTAGTACCGGAAGGGTGTCCGCGAAGATAGAGTAGATCTCTGTGGCTAGGTGGTGGTCCTCGCATGAACTGCGGGCGAGTTTCTTCCAATTAGTCGCAAGTTTCGATATGTGGCGGTTCTCGGATCGTGGTGGGAGCGAGGAAATGTCGATTTCTTGCAACTTCCATGCCTGGATCGGTTCCGGTTTGTAGGATGAGAAAAGGTTCACAGCCGGGTTTGGTGCGAAAGCGTATAGCTCTGGTCGCCGACGGACCAGTCGGTGAACTTCCTTTGGTTTTCTGGGATGTTGAGGATGATACCGCCGTTTTTTCGATTCTTCGATTACTAGAAGATTCTTATATTTCAGGTCTGCAAGTGTTGGTTGGTTTTGCGGTGTCGCCATCTGCAGGGTGGCTGCGTGAGGGTGTTTGCAGGTGCCGCCTACTGGATTGTGGTTTCGTAGGGGCGTGCGTTATGTGGGTTGCGTATACGTAGGCGTAGAAACGGATTGTTACAAAGTGGATTTTCAAAAAACGCGACTGCACATCAATTTAAATTTGAGGAAGATCATTCTACAGCGCTAGGGTTGTTTGCTCTGAAATTTTTCATTGCAGGGGCCTTCTTTTCCAGAATATAGAACCATAATTTTTTTTAGATCTGATAGACATTCTTGGTCATCATTGGAAAGGCATTTAGACAATTATGTGATTTTAAAAGGCATAAACAGGGCGCGAATTAGCATCATTAATTCGGAGTACGTCCAATGAAATCTCAAACAAAGTGCTACTAAAGCCGTCGCACATGCGCTTATGAAAATTGTAGATTTTTATTGAAGTTGATTCGCGCCTGCGCAAATTTTCCGATTGAACTTATTTGTTTATATGTTTACAAAATTATGTCTTCTTCTAGCCGAAGATCCAGGCGTACGTGGTAGATTAAATGAATGCTTAGAAACCATCCTAAATAAAGCCCAAGAGCCACCAAAGTCAAAGAAAGTTCAGCATTCGAACGCAAAGAATGCCGTTCTATTCGAAGCTATTAGTCTGATCATACATAACGACAGGTAAATCTATCATTAACTATGGCTTAAAAAAAATGATTGCGTTTGTTTTAGTGAGGCTAATCTCCTTGTAAGGGCGTGTAATCAACTGGGTCAGTTTTTAAGTAATAGGGAAACAAATCTTAGATACTTGGCATTGGAGTCTATGTGCCATTTGGCGACATCTGAATTTTCTCACGAAGCCGTCAAAAAACATCAAGAAGTCGTGATCTTATCGATGAAAATGGAGAAAGATGTGTCAGTCCGGCAGCAGGCGGTAGATTTACTGTATGCGATGTGTGATAAGACGAATGCGGAAGAAATAGTACAAGAAATGCTGAATTATTTGGAAACTGCGGATTACTCCATTCGAGAGGAAATGGTTTTAAAAGTTGCAATCCTTGCAGAGAAATACGCTACAGATTATACCTGGTATGTAGTGATACTTGTTGCTATAAATGGTTTTTTAAGGTGGTTTGCAGGTACGTCGACGTCATTCTAAATTTAATTAGAATAGCTGGGGATTATGTATCCGAAGAGGTTTGGTACCGTGTAATACAAATCGTGATTAACAGAGATGAGGTGCAAGGGTATGCCGCGAAAACGGTATTTGAGGCTTTACAAGCTCCTGCTTGTCACGAAAATATGGTCAAAGTGGGCGGATACATTTTGGGGGAGTTCGGCAATCTCATAGCTGGAGATCAACGGTCATCGCCTCAAGTACAATTCCAACTGCTGCACTCGAAGTATCATCTATGTTCTCCAATGACACGCGCCCTTTTGTTATCGACGTACATTAAATTCATCAACCTGTTTCCAGAGATTCGTACTCAAGTGCAGGAAGTATTTAGACAGCACAGCAATTTAAGATCTGCCGATGCCGAATTACAGCAAAGAGCTTCAGAATATCTGCAATTGAGTATTATCGCTAGTGCGGACGTACTGGCTACGGTACTAGAAGAAATGCCTTCGTTCCCGGAGAGGGAAAGCTCTATTTTGGCAGTGTTAAAGAAGAAGAAACCGGGCCGTGTTCCGGAGAACGAAATTAAGGAAGGGAAGAGTCCTACGCCAATTACAAACCATACCAATGACACAAACAATACAAGGTATGACGCACGCAAGTTTTTGAATACCTGTGACAACTATACTGTACAACTGTAAAGTGACTCATTTCTCTTTTTAGCCTCGATTGTACAAATTAAGTCTTAATTCTCGCTTCTGACAACTGGTGTTACTGTTATGGTTCTTCCATGCACTGTGTCACTATTTTAAAACTACATGAAAGCTGTCAGGAAATTTGACACTGTTTAATGATGCTATGTGTAACGGCTTAGTTACTTTTTCAAAGGTCAAAGACTACACTTGCATAAAATAAAATTGAACCTCTACGGCACTGCCAACAAATTTTAATTTGACAATTAAAATTGAATTAAATTCTAAACAAAATTTTAAGTCAACCAAAGGAATGGTATCACTGAAATTAAATAAGCAATAAAACAAAATATCCAAAAATCCTTTCTTTCACACATGGGTCGATTCCTTTAGGAATATTAAAATTACTTCAAACGAAATTACTTATGCAAATTCCTAAAAATAATCGACTACTACTTTGTACAAATCAAAAAATTTAAAATAATTTGCAGTTATTGATGTGGGTATATTCTCTTCTAGTAACAATTAATCTTATCTCTCCTTAGAAAATGCCACTTTCTTTTAGAAATATGGAAACTGGTCGTTTTGATGGTACAATAGACTCCATGATGATTGCAAATCTAAGCCAACCGTCTTCAATTTCGCTCCAGATCATGATTATGCACCTTTCTGTTGTGTGGATATTATTTAATAGTCTTGTTGCAAGTAAATGCACTGATTATTGTCTTTAAAATCCCTGCTACATACAAACTTGTATTATTGCACAATCCAATGACGTCACTCAACTTTGAGAAACTTGCTTTAATCACGCGTTACTGTTAGCGGTCCGAAAAAAATTTGTTTATCACAATGACTTTTAATTTCAGTTTATTTAATCCTATTTATTTCAAAAGCGGTCCTCCGACTCGAAAATGATCCTTCGTGTATATTTTACCACTTGTAAATAAAAGGCCTTCCTACAAATCAGAATGCTAAAGATTTTTTCTTCGGCCCGAAATTTACTGTTAATGCACATGCATACAATTACAGGTAATTTGTTTAAATATCGCCACTTAAAGTAGTTGACGTTGTTTTGTTAAATTTTTGAAGAAATACTTCGTTCAAAATCCAAGTTTTAGTCTTTTCGTTCACTTTTTTATTTGATCCCATTTTGAAAACGATAGACTATGCAACAATCATTACAAAGAGACTGTTGTAATAAAAACATTTCCGATAACTTAAAAAAAAATAAGTTATAGGCTCTTATCTAAAAATTAAAACAATGCAATTTTTGCCCACAATTTAAAAACAAAAGACTGTAGAACAGGTTTGCAACATTGAGTTTATCAGAAAATGTTATATGATCAAAAGGAAGCTTTTTAAACAAAAAACTCATTTCAAAAATACCAGAGATATTAAAAGAAGATTGAAGTGATTTAAAAAAATTAAAAAAGATTGTTAAAGATTAAAAAAGGTTCAACTGATTCAAAAAATGTCAGATTTTTGAAGTCTCATCAAATTAAAAAAATGAGATTAGTCACCTAATGGTATGGTACGTTAGATTTTTGAAAAGAGAATTTACTATGCTGTCTGTTTAGATTAAAATATAGAAGGTGTTACATAATGCAACAATCATTACAAAGAAACTGTTATAAGAAAAACATTCCAGATAACTTAAAAAAAAATAAGTTATAGGCTCTTATCTAAAAATTAAAACAATGCAATTTTTGCCCACAATTCAAAAACAAAAGACTGTAGGACAGGTTTGCAACATCTAGTTTATCAGAAAATGTTGAAAATACCAGAGATATTAAAAAAAGATTGAAGTGATTTTAAAAAAATTAAAAAAGATTGTTAAAGATTAAAAAAGGTTCAACTGATTCAACAAAATTTCAGATTTTTGAAGTCTCATCAAATTAAAAAAATGAGATTAGGCACCTAATGGTATGGTATGTTAGATTTTAGAATGTACTATGCTGTCTGTTTAGATTAAAATATAGAAGGTGTTACATTATGCAACAATCATTACGAAGAAACTTTTGTAATAAACACATTTCCAAAGACTTAATAAACAAAGAAATTATAGACTTTTATCTAAAAACCGAAAAATGTAACTTTTGCTTATAACTCAAAAACAACCCAATGTGGCCATTCTGTACACAGAAAATAATGTTTGAAATTGCTTATTAAACCCTATTAACGGCATTTTGTAAAATGAAAGCTTGACTTTTGATCATTGCAAAAATCAGTTTTGCGCATGCGCAGATTGCGCAATGCCAAATTTATGGAGACATTTTTAGGAAATAAACATAGATGTTTCTTGTAAAAAAAATATCTTACATAGCTATGGCCTTTGGGAAGTACTGATCAATTCATGGAAAATGCGCTAAAGTTACTCGCTTTAGGGCGAAAACCTTTTTAGCGCATTTCCACAATAAAAAAAAATGCGCTATTATGGCCACTTTGTCCGTCCGTCCGCTAGTTTTTTATCTTAAGAGCTATTGTTCTACTTTTTTCGCTATTTGGTTCGTTATGGTGTCGAGTCTTGCACCGAGGAAGGAATTTTTTCTGTACCGCTTACAAAAAAAGTTATTGAAAAAAAAACAAAAAACCGTTTTTTACATGTTCCACATATAATTTTGCATTGCTGTCTGTCGTCTGCCTGTTGGTCTGTCCGTCTGTTCCTTTGTCTGTCTGTCCCTCTATCTGTCCGTGTGAACGATAACTTTGTTTAGAAATGTCCGATTGCTTTTACATCTCCGTTAGTTATGAACTGAATTGCATGAAATTCAATATGGGCATAGCTTTAGCCATATAATACGCAATGCCAAAAGTTGAGTTGAATCGATTCAAAATTCACAGTGCCCTTTTCGCATCTCGACCATTTATAAACCGAATTGCAAACTTTTTTAATTACAAAAGTATTTAAATGAAATTTGATACATAGCTACTTGGAATAAAAGCAAATTTAACACCAATTTCAGAATTTGGTTTTGCGCATACGCAGTGCCAACTTTCTTATTTATGGAGGGATTTAAATGAAATTTAATAAATAGCCACTTGGAATAAAAGCAAATGTAACGCCAGTTTCAAAATTTGGTTTTGCGCATGCGCAGTGCCAATTTTTTTATTTATGGAAGCATTTAAATGAAATTTGATACATAGGTGCTTGGAATAAAGGTAAATCTTACGCCAGTTTCAAAATTTGGTTCTGCGCATGCGCAGTGCCAACTTTTTTAGTTATGGAAGCATGTAGATGAAATTTTGTACATAGGCACTTTGAATAAAGGAAAAGCTAATGCCAGTTTCCAAATTTAGGTTTGCGCATGCGCAGTTCCAACTTTCTTATTTAGAAAAACATTGAAATGAAACTCTTCTTATAAACTGAAATTGAAGTAGCACGTCAAAAATGGATTGCACATGTGCAACACTATCTTTCATATTTGTGGCCGGATTTTGACAATTTAAACAAACGTTGCATCTTACAAACAGGAAATGAATGCAAGTGGAAATGCGCTTTATGTAAATCGTTTACAATTACTTTTTAACTTGTTACTTTTTATTAAGGTTATTTGCGCTTTTTCCACTTTACAAACAGTAGTCACTTCACAGAAATGTGTACGCTAGTGTTGTCACTGTCATTGTCATGTATTAATTTACATTAATTTATCTAATTTTACCAACAGTTCTGTCTCCGGCGATTTACTGGGACTGTCAACGCCACCTACATCACAACCTCCATCCAGTAACACTGGTGTTTTACTAGATGTTTTAGGAGATGTATACAATTCTAAACCTCTAACGAATAATACTAATAATACTCAACAACAGAATCTGTACAACCCTAAGAAGTAAGATTATTCTTACAGTCAAAGTCAAAACCGAACCAACTTGGGTACGATCGCACTCAAGCTAGTTCGGTTGGAACTGTATAGCAAAATTTATTTTTTTTGTGTTTTAGATTCGTTTGTAAAAACAACGGCGTATTATTTGAAAACGAATTAATCCAAATAGGAGTTAAAAGCGAATTTAGACAAAATTTAGGTCGTCTCGGTTTATTTTATGGTAATAAAACTACATTCCCATTGCAGTCGTTCGTTCCTACACTTTTATGGTCTGATGATCAAGCTGCAAAGATGAGTATTCAAATGAAACCCGTCGAGCCGTTATTGGAAGCTGGCGCTCAAATTCAGCAACTTATCAATGCGGAATGTATAGACGATTATACAGGTACGTAAATTGGCGATAATTTCTTTGTTCAAAATTGTTAAAGCAGTTTCATCTTATGGTCATGAAAAATCTCAATGTCCAAATTAATCCCCTTTTCCTCCAACCAGGCATGTCAAACTCGCGGCCCACCGTTCTAAAGTCTGTGGCCCGTCATGATATTAGCAAATTATAAAATTTATTTGTACTGTTTGTCCTATTTTGGTTGAGATTCTAGTGTATCTCAGCTGTTTACATTAGGGACCTTTTTTTTGTGGAACCACCACAAACAGAATCATTCCAGCTATGTTTGTTTCTGAGATACAGGCTGAAAACAAGAATTTGAAAAATTTCATTTTTTGGGATATTATTATATCTGACTTTTGGACCACTGCTTCTGAGATTTGACCCAAAATTGGTATTTTTAAATGCAACACCCTGTATATCTTAACATCAATTTTAATTTTTTTTGCATTCATTTTCCTGATGTATCACAATCTATATTTTTTAGATTGTAGCTATGAAAATCAATAAAAATCTTATTTTTTACAGTTTTTAAATAGTAGGAAATGGATTCATGGAGATTTTGTTTTGTATTCATGGTAACTAAGGCAGCCGATACCAATCAATAAAAAGGGTAACGGTAGAAACATATCATTTCAAAATTTTTAATACTGTATAAAATAATATATAATTATACAAAAACTATAGGATGTGATATATCAATGTAATCGGGAAAAATAATGCAAAAAATTGACGTTCAGATATACAGGGTGTTGCATTTAAGACATACCAACTTTGGATCAATTCTTAGAAACAGTGGTCCCAGAAACAAATGTAGCTAGATTGTGGTATTAAAAGTTTCACAAAAAAGTTGCATAGGGTCTCTATCTTTAAAAACAACTAAGTTACACTGCAGTGTCAACCAAAATAGGACACGCGATACATTTTCGCGAGCGCGGACTAATGGTTTTATAATTATTCGTATTTTTTCGTTCTATTGCATTATTTTTAGCGTATTTTCCAACGAAGTTCGGTGCGCTATTGCAGCTAGGCATAGGAATTTTTTCCGATATATCGATAGGTATCGTTAGTTATCGATATATCGAATAACAATAGGTAGAGCTAAAAAATTCGATATATCGATAGATCGATAACTATTGATATATCGACACTAATCGATAAGTATCGATTATCGATACCTATCGATATGTCGATAACTATTGATATATCGATACCTATTGGAACGATAAAATTATGTTATTGTTGAGATTTCAACGAGCGCTACTATTTTTATTAATAAAATCCATTTTCGGGTTTACTCTCGTGTAAATTTACTATTTTTAGTTGCTCGACGTTTCGGAAACTTAACTTTGCTCCCTTTCTCAAGAGAAGCGCTACGTACATCATCATCCATGCCAAATAAACGCAGTAATAAAATCTTTAGAAAATAGATCTTTTCGTCTTACTGACGATTGCTCAAAAAAAGAAGCACTTCAAAAACTTGAACAAAATGTTGCATCAAAATGGCTACTCTTTAGATAAAATAAAGAAGACAATCAAAGGGTGTAATCATGGCCTATGTATCGGTATCTGATTGATGGTTACAGAGGACCAGTCACAAAAAAACAGAAAAAGCTAAGAACACTTCAAATTTAGATATACAGTTTCAATTGATTGACATTTACGAAATCTAACAAAAAACTCTTGATAAAGGTAGCAAAGAAACGTCGAGTAACTATTAATAGTCACTTTACACGAGAATAAACCGGAAAATGGATTTTATTAATAAAACTCGATAAGATAACTATCCCTGTCGACAACTATCGATACGTCGAATATTTCTCTCAAATGAGGCGTGCAATTACCGCTTAATTACAGCGGTAATTGCATTGTAGAAAGCTAAAGAGCCCTGCGATAATTGCACAGTTAATACGGCAAGAACTGCATTCGGTTATTTTCATATTTTGTTAAAAGAGCCCTCTTGTCTTGTCGGGCTCTTTCGCCAAAATATAAAAGTAAACTCATGCAGTTTTTAGACACGCTTTCAAAAAAATTATTGGTAATATTATATCGATACCTATATATTAAAAACTATCGCCATAACGAGAACTATCGATATACCGATACTTATCGATATAGCGACAGTTATCGATCTTTCGATAGTTATCGGTGTATCGATAACCATTGATATTTTGATAATTATCGGCATATCAATAAGTAAAATATATCGATAGGTAACTACCAGATACTTATATCGATAGGTGAAAACAGTTATCGCCCATCCCTAGCGATAACTATCGATATATCGATACCTATCGATAGTATTCATATATCGATAACTATCGAAATATCGATAACTATCGATATATCGATAGACAAATCGATAACTATTGATATATCGATAACTATCGACATATCGATCGATAACTATCGACATATCGATAGGTATCGATATATCGATAACCATCGATATTTCGATAATTATCGGCATATCGATAAGTAAAATATATCGATAGGTAAGTACCCGATACTTATCGATAGGTGAAAACAGTTATCGCCCATCCCTAATTGCAGCCACTTTCTCTGTCCGTCCGTCTGAGGCCTTAACTACTCCTACATTTTCAAGATAGATAGAAAAATCTTGTCGATTAGAGTGCGCATGCGCAGGCTGCGCAATATCAACTTTCTTGTTGATTAATATATTTTGTTGAAATTTCATCCACAGATAGTTCTAGTAACCATATCGCATATAGTAAAAAGAAGATGTGCGCATGCAGAGACTGCGCAATGGCAACTTTCTTTGAAATGTTAATTTTAACCAAAGATGCTTTTAGTGAAAGCAAACGTATCGCATATTGTAAACATCAGATTAATGCGCGCATGCGCAGGGTGCCAAATATCAACTGTCTTATTTATCAAAATATTTTTTTGAAATTTTAGACTTATCTCATATTGTAAACATTAGATGTGCTCATGCGCAGTCTATACGCATTCTGCGTACCCTTATTTATGAAGATATTTCTTTGAAATATTAACCATAGATGCCTCTAGTAAAGAAAAACATAGCGCACATACCCATGGCCTTTTGGGAAGTACTGATCAATGCATGGAAAATGCGTCAAAGTTACTCGCCTTGACACGCCTGGTCTAGACTATGATTTATGTTACTTCCTAAAGAAGCTCTAATGCCCCTTATAACTAACCTTTACAAAATTGAATAAAACAAAACTCGTTTAACCATTACAGATACTCCAAGTATGGTGATATCCTTTATTTACAACAATCTTCCTCAAAAAATTACGATAAAACTGCCACTCACAATAAACAAATTCTTTGAACCGACGGAAATGAATGGCGAATCATTTTTCGCCAGATGGAAAAATTTGGGAAGGTATACACGTCGTTTTGTGAATATTCGAGTATTAATATGCGGATATTTTGCAGCTCAAATCAGCAAAGATCGCAAAAGATATTTAAGGCGAATGGCGTAATGGATTTACAAGCGACCCGTACAAAACTCATGGGTTTCGGAATGCAATTGCTCGATGGTATCGATCCTAATCCCGATAATTTCGTCTGCGCTGGTATAGTGCATATGCGTTCTCAACAAGTGGGGTGTCTGCTTCGTTTGGAACCAAACAGAAACGCTCAGGTACTTGTTTTTCTTTGTTTATGTTTCTCTAATGTATTTGGTTTGCAGATGTATAGACTTACGGTGCGTTCTAGCAAAGAGAGTGTCTCGGTGGAAGTTTGTGATCTCCTAGCTGAACAATTTTAATGTAAAACAGTTCCCATTAGCAAAATATTCTATTCATTTGCTCTTAGTCATATACATATTTCACTCTCTGCGTTCATCAACAACATAACACTCTTTAGCCTGAAATCTTCCTTACTAAATTCATGTTGTACGTGTTACGAGATACTAAGGACCTATCATGCATGAATTGAGACAATATACTTGTGAATTTCAAATGTGCAAATGTTCTTGCCTGTGGATGTTTAAATGTTTATTAGCTCTTTACACTATTTTTATGTTCTAATCTATAGTAAAGATGGAGTTCAAAAGAGGATCAACAATTTTACGCACAGATGTTTTTATTTTAGATTTCGTTATAGTTGATAGGGTTCACTATTATTACGTTCTTTGGGTAATCGAGAAGTAAAACATGATCTACAAGCGCATATAATGCACTTTATTAAAATTACTCGTGTGATTTGGATTGTTTTTATATATACAAGGTGTTGCCGATCACGAAATGGTACCTATTTCAAATTTGATTTTCTGTTTGTCAGCAAACCGTTTCATGACCGTCAATTCTAGTCTGACTATTAATCGTAGTAATTTCACACTTTTAATTTTATTTTTAATAGTGTACCCTTTAATTGTTGTTTTATAATACTCCATACAGACATATCTCCGTGCTGTTACCAATTATTTTAAGCCATCGAAGCATATTGCTATTTGTATAATTTGAAAGGTGATACTGACATTTTCTGGTTAATCTATCTGTAGAAATGACGTTTTATTCTCGACTCCTTTACTGGCCACGTAGAATAAAATGCAGCGCTTGAACTCAATAGAATTTAAATGCTACATATATTATTGTATAAAAATAACGAGTATATAATTGGCAGTTTAAATTAAGTCATGTTAAAGGTCTATATGAATGCAAATGTTAACATGATGACTATATCATAGTTTTAAGACTTGAAATGGATTTCTGTTAATTTAATTGACATTTTTTTAATACGAAGTTATCGAACATTATTTCAAATCTAATAAATGTTATAATTTGTATATGTTCATTGTATAAATTATCTTATGTAGGTAGATGTAAATCTATACGATTCCAGTTTTATTTGTATTTTTTATATGTTATATTAGTATTGTGCATCATATTCATTGTATAAATAATATATGTAATATAGAAGGAAATATACTCATGAATTTTTAGCCCATTTTTTCAGAACTAAAAAAATGTGTTGTTCTATGTACTTTGTCAGTAATTGAAGTGCTTTTAAATGAATTTTTTTTAAATAAATCATAGCTATTTTGATGTCGACATTGTTGGAATATTTGAAAGTACGTCTTGTGGCGTATTTGCTGTATACCCTTAGAATCCGCGCTGCCTAGTTGCAGCTGACAAGTGTAATACACAGCCAACATTTCATTCGACAGTCGGCCATTGTTAATTTATTGCTAGTGCTGTCGTTTACATGCGTGTTTTTGTAAAGTCTACAGAAAGAGGAAGACATTACATTTGATGTTAGTTATTAGATTTTTGAAAAATAAATTGGGAGAGCTTAAAAGATCTCGTAAAAATATTACTAAAACACTGATGCAAGTGAAAATGCCACCATTGGCCCGTATGAATAAAAGTAAGCAAATGCTTATACTTGAAAAATTCAAAGTAAATACTTGTAAGTGCTCCTTCGCACTAGGCGACTTAGCAGCGCTGCTAAGCAGAAGGACAGGACGCAGTGCAGCGCTGCTAAACAAACCAGTATAAAGGGACACTTACGAGTATTTACTTTGAATTTTGCAAGTATAAGCATTTGCTTATTTTTATTCATACGGCCCATTGTTTCAAATGAGGTATCTCTGTCAAAAACTATACAATTGCTGACGAACGACATTGCATGTCTAAAGTCTGTAAACACAAAGCTCCTTATTCAATAAACTGATTCCACTGACCGCCGCCAGTCTCATTAAGTTGTCCACAACCTTTTTTTCGGCAACCTGTGTGCAGATGTGAAATGTGTCACGTTCTTTACAGTATCAATATCATGATAACTACATTAGGGTGCACATGTACACTGATAATTTAACATAGGTAGGTATTGATATTATATCTTACATTTTATCCAAGTTTTTTGTAATAAACATCCCAGTTTTTGTAGATTAAATAAAGAAAATAAATTAATAATTCTAATTAGTTACAAATTTTTTTATGATACGTTCCCGTAAAAACCTCGTGCCGGGCCCCACGTTGTTGCTGCTTCACGCGGTTTTTTTAACTTTTGTTTGTGTTTATTACTAATAATTCATTTATTGTCTATAGTCAAGGAACGTTGCGACCGGTATATGAATAGTTAACCACTCGAAAACTTCGCTCGTTAATAAAAAATGTGGGTTACTGTTTGGAAAAACAATTGTATGACGTCACGGCGCTAAAAACTCACATTAAAATAACACACTGCCAAAATTTTAATGAAATCAGTATAACCGTTTGACCGAAAAATATTTTAGTTTTTTAATTTTGATATTTTTTTGGAATAAAACCTAACAATATTTTTCCGGACCCTTTTTTTGTTTCCGTATCCCTTTTATACATCTCCAAAATTTGAACAAAATCCGTTGAGCAGTTATTTCGGAAAATTACCAATGTACATATGGAGTACATACAGACTAAACCTTGCAATAAGTTTTTTTTGTAAAGAAAACTATACTAAATGCAATAAAATTATTATTATTATGGAGTACATACAGACGGAAAAAAGTTTCATTTTTAAAAGTTGCGTAAAATGATGTAAAACTAACTTAAGGAGAGAGCCCATTTCGTTGCACTGGAAGTGACAGCTATTTTATTTCAGTTTCGCGGGTGTCACGTGTCACCTGCCGGCCCTCAGCGAAATACGTCACACGCTACTTGGTAGCGCTGCTGAGTAACACCACTAAGAAGCGAGCGCTATATTTTGTTTGCAACTTATGCGCCCCATGCAAGCCCATTCCACCAACAAACAGATCATAAAATGTTTTCCGTTCAGAATGCGCGTAGTCGAAGTCGTGCGTTTCAGCGGGAGTCGACCACTGCCCGCCACCGTGGGGCTTCTAAATCGGTGGTCGCGCTTGATTGAATAGCTCCATATTTTGAAACAATGTTTCTTCAAAACGCACCACCAAAGTAGTACCTATATTCACAGGGGAGCTCGACCAGGTAGCACTTAGCCATACATCAAATGCTCACTGTGCCTACCACCTTTCTTTCGCAACTAGGTTCAGAGCCCGTTCTTCTCAATAAAGAATAGAACTCTGTTTATCCTAAGTTGCTTCACCCTCCTCGGTTCCAGATAGCTGTCGTCAAGGAGCTAAGGTCTGTCTCTGGTCAGGGCGTTCCAGTGACAGACCACATGCTCTGTAGTTTCATCTGCCTCGCCACAGACGTGGACTGCCCACAAGCTCAAAGTGATAGTTGACCATCCGATTTAGAAACTTAGAAGATCCAGAGTGACTTATATCTCTGCGGTGTTGGTAAGATAACCCGGATCACATCCCTTCTTGCGGGGAGAGGATGGGATCTGAGGGTTTCCTTCCAGATCCGCTCGTGCCCAAAGCTGCCTCGATACTTCCACTCATCGTTTAATTGTATGGAAGCCTTCCGAACCTCTGCCTCCACAGTTAAGTGTAAAGGCGTGGTTTCCATGGCTTCAGTGACTCCCAGACAGGCGAATCTTTGAACCGTTTCCTAGCTGTTTCCTATAGGTGCGCATGGCAGGCCACCATACAAGTGCACCGTACAGTATTGTTGACGTTATCACTACATTGTATAGCCAATATACCAGTCGAGGGTTCAAGCCCCATAGTACACCCAAAAGTCCTACATGCCCATAGACATGCAGTGTGCTTTTTTGCTTATTCGCCTTATGTGCCCTTTCCAAGTGAGGCCCATCAAGGTCCGCATTCCTTCTGTTCGTAAATGGAACAACCTCGGTCTTTTCCGGGTTAACGGAGAGGTCATGACTCATGACTACGGCTCCACCTATCCACCTGTTCATCAAGAGCTCCCTGCATGAGCTCTTTCACGGTTTTTTGAAACTTTTCAGTTATGACGATCGCGAGAACGTCCGCGTATCCGGGTGTATACGCTCCGTTCTCGTTCAGAGTGCGGAGGAACCCGTCTAGTAGTACCAGGCACCACAGCAGTGGAGACAACATTCCACCCTGCGGACTTCTTCTAGTAACCATAATGACCTCATATCCGTCGCCCGGAATGAGATATAATGACTGTTTCCGACATGGAGCGGATCCATCTTACGATGATAATGGGTCCATCATTGCCTAGCCTTCAGCAGCCTCACTAATTGAATCGAACGTGGTGATGTCAAACGCACCCTCGATATCTGGAAACGCTCCCAGAGCCGTCTCCGTGGACATGCCAGCTTTGTAAGCATGTTCGAATGGATGTATTGATCGAAGGACCAGTACCCCGATTCGCTTATGTATCCGCATCCACCAGCCTCTCCGCCGAGAAACGATCTGTGGCGCCGCCAGAAATATTTCAATAGGTACACTTGGTAACTTGGGGCCAATGTATTTTAGGTTGGGCTATAATTCGTGACACTTGTATTATGTAGAGAGATATTCAATTGACAAATATGTACGCAAATTTATTTATTGCACATTGTTAACTTTTGTTTATTAGTAGGGCAAACAGGAATTGGCCCAATAGGTAAAAACATATTAAAACTCGATACGAAGCATTATACATACAGGGTGGCACAACGACAAAACAGACTGAGAAACTCGAAAGGAAATAGAGTTTTTGGGAAAAAACGGATAAACGGTTCGATTTTGGTTAGAAGGTAGACATTTTTTACTTAAAAATGTACACCCTTCGCGTCAACGCCCTAAGGAGGGTGACCACTCCATCAATAATTTTAAATTGAATGTTGGGTCGAGTGACACATCATTGGAAAGGGCTCTTAATTTCCTATACGCCTACGGTTTTGGGCCATAAGTTCGCCATTTGTGGACCTACAAGAAACATTGAATGGGAAAATAATCAGCATAAAATTTTGCATATTTTTGCCCATTTAATCGACTTTGTGCCGCTTACGGTTTACGAGATCTGGGGAAATTAAAAAAAAACACTTTGTATAGTGAATTTAATTGGGCATTATTGGAGAAATGCGAACAAAGTGAAAGGATCCTCGGACCGCATTCACGGCGCAATTCGCAATCAGCTCATGGGAGAATCATTATCATTTTTTCAAGGATGGACCAAGGGGGGCCGAGCAACACTACGAATGGGCCAGGGTCCACGCCCTGGCGGCGCCACTGCTTGTAATCCTTCGCCATGTCATGTTTGGCACGACCCCGGATTAGGTAATAGGTAGGTACACAACTCTCTACAGGTCCGTAGCCAGAGCTGATCTGTAAGTAGGGCTTAGCATTTCTGAAGTAGGGCAGACAATTTTGTAATAAAGGTGAGGCATATTTGTGATTAAAAAAATTGAAGGAACGTTTGCAATAACACCAAATACCTGCCAGTATATGAAATTTTATTTTCTTAATACTATAATCATATCATTACTAGACTAGTATAACTGAAGTCTTTTGTTGCGTAGTTAAATTTTTTTAGAACTTCGTCAATGTCTATGTCCTCGAATGCTCAAAAGCGAGATAAACTAAATCAGTCATTCTCGGATGTTTCATAGCCGTTAAAGCTGAAAATGTAGGTACTTTCGCATACAGCAGTGCTACATCCGAAGGTGGCGACTGTGGCAAGTAACTCATAGGTTTCCTTAAATGCCTCACGCTAATTGTAAAGCACTTGAAACATTTCCTCGCCCCGTTTTCTATCTAAATACGATTTGACGACTGTCATTTCTTCGTGAGTAGGTATTTTTACACCTTAAAAAGCTTTTGGGGCTATACCCTAAAGCCAGGGAGCTCTAAAGAGCTGCAACAAATGTAGGAACAGCGCCTGCAGGCCCTTCTGCAGAAGAGCCGGGAATATCCCTTCCGGTCGTCCACTTTTAAATGAGCTGAACGTGTTGACCGCCCATGGCAGACATCCCTCGGTAACCACCGGGGCAGCTACTTTCCAGTGTATTTGCCGGCTAGTGTGGCGCAGTTCAATTGAAGGTGGACTGTGGTGCTAGGGGTCCCTGGTTCGAATTAAATTAAATTTCCTTTTATTGCCCAACAGAAAAACAAACATTCCGAATCCGGGTTCGGGCATGGATATTTGTAAATGTATAGTGGCTTGGGTTGGTAGAGCAGCCTTGGCTGAAACCCCGCCCACTCAAAAATAAAGGCAAATAAATAAATAAATAAAAATAAATATTTATTCCTATATCGTAGTAATATGACACTCGCCGTACTAATAGAAATTTTAAATTTGGCACTCATGTGTAACTTGGAGTCATAAAAAAATGGAGTTGTCTTTTAAAAAAGCAGTGCATGACGGCATACCTCAAATTTGGAACACCGTGTATAAAATTGTATTACATCAAAAAGGGCGCAGTTTAAAATACTAATCGACGTGCCCGAGAATATTTTCTAAAAAAAACCTTGTTTGACTTACTGAATTTATTCCAAATTTGAGACTCACCCTGTATGTTCTCAGCAAATGTCTGTTTTAAATTGTAATACTTTTTTAGCGCATTTTTGCAAATTTATTTGTAAAAAGTAGGTTTTAATCTCACTTTGGCTGGCTGGCTGACTGGATGGCTGGCAGCAAATGTGGGCGCGTAGAAGAACTCTTGTGGAAAGGCAACGGCTACAAGGCCGTGTAATTTGTCAACCTTAGGGACAGGGCTACATGATGTGGGGTTGGCGACATCTGTACTATCTTGTGGAAGGTTTTTAGCGAAATCCACCAAAATGTCGGTGTAATATGACTATGCACTGAAAAAGGAAATGTGGTAGCCTCCGACAAGATCTAACTGATGTTGAGTCAAATCTTCAATCGCGAATTGCGGGTGAACGGGACGTCGGAAGTGGGTACCGTCAAAGGCAATGTGGTAGCCCCCGACACGATCTTACTGATGGTGGAGTCAAATCTTCAAACGCGCAGTGGAAGGGAACGGGACATCGGAAGTGGATACCGACAAAGGGAATATGGTAGCCCCCGACAAGATTTTACTGATGGTGGAGTAAGAACTTTAAACGCGAATTGCGGGTGCACGGAAAGTGGGAAGCGGATACCGACAAAGTGAATATAGTAGCCTTCGACAAGATCTTTTATTGATGGTTGAGCCAAAAGTGACTAATAGAATTCTGATCTGCCACACAAAAATGCGCTGAAGTCCCTTCGATCTCACACGAGAACTTTGATCATTTTTTAGCGTAAATTCGTGAACGTCACTAAAAGTATAATTATTAGCTTACAACGTCTGTATAGACATTCATTAGGTGATTTTGTTTGAACAAAATAAAACTACCAAGTCTAATTTAGGTACATTGTTTCAAAATCCTGTTCATTTCATAATTCTTGACACTTTTTATTGTTCTCTTCCTTGATTAGAATTACAGAACGGTCATTTCATACTTGCATAAGGGCTTTCAAAAGTGTATACCTATAAAATAATTTTGTGTATGGAACGGGAACCTAACTTTTAAGAAATTTTCACTTATGATTGGGGGCGTTAAAAACGGATGGCTAGATATATATGCGTAGGTCAAATTTTTTGAATGCAATACCTCCACCTTATCTCCAAGTTGATCTTTTTGCCCGTAATCAACAGCGAAGGCCCGCAAGTGATAATAAAGTAGCAGAAGCGATAAAAGAGGTATTATACTATTTTTTACAGTACGCTGGAGAAGAATGCGATTAAAAGTTACACTTCAGACATTTTACAGCTTCGGAAGACCGTTTCCCCAAACTTAAGAGAGGGTAATAAACTGTGACTGAGAATTTCGTGACGAATGGAGTCCTCACTCAGCAATTAAATATTTTCATTGATGTTTATTTAAAAAAAGGTGCGCTACCAAGGCTTAGGTACAACCTATTTTGGGTGGGTTTTTAGAAGCTAATATTTAGCAATCTTTTAATTCATGCATCAAAGATATTTATGGTGCTAATACCCACATAGTACCTATATCTAAATATTTACTTTCGCCATCTGCCTTTTCTCATTTATGTTATAGTAGGTAGCATGACCGTAAATGTAATTCTTATAGAATTTCACTGTCACTAACGAACCTATAGATTAAACGGGCTCCGTCTAATTCAAATTTCAAGTGCACTCGGCGACGAAATTACGAGAAAAACTAAAATACGCTAAGAGTTCTAAATGCGTCCAATACCTCACCGTAAGCGTCTCAATAGTTATGCCGCGCCGTCGTCGCCAACTTTAAGGGAAATGATTAAATAAGCGACGCCAGTATGAGCGGCAATCCTTGCACTCATTGATTAAAAATGTCCATTCTCATACCGCAGTGTATTAGCGAAAAGTTTTAAGCGCATTGATTGAATCGAACAGAAGCCTTTTTTCCAGCTAGTGGCGTTAGTGGAAGATTTATGGTACTTTAAGAAACTTCGAAAAGGAGTTAAGCTCTGGTGATGTTGAAGATTGTTACTTAATCTGGACTTGAAAGTTCGCCAAAAGTGTTTCGCTTAATTGTATTAATTCCTCTAAACGTGGTAGACGTTAAACTTTGAGTTTCCATCCAACTGAAAAGCAGAAAGTGTATTTCGGCGCTATTCAAACTTACAGCTCTGATTCTGTGCTAATATGAAGAATTTGTATGTGTGGAAAAGTGAATTTGTGTTGTGGTGAATTGAAGTTAAAAAATGTGGCTACCCCTGCATATTCTGTTAAGGTGCGACACGTGAACAACCCCATATGAGTAAATCAGGATGGTAAGCGATGATTAGAAATTAGGAAAGTGTGCTGCATGTTTTCGTGTAGTATAATTAGCGATTGGAGAGAGTGTTTCGAGATAATATAGTTATATTTGGAAAATCTAATATATGTAGCATATTATAAATACACGTCTGTTTAGCTTTATTTTTAGCACTTGATGAATCCATCCTCAAATAGCTTAGTTCTCACTATTTGAAATCGAAGTTTTCGAAGAATCCTTACTTTTGAATATCATTGTAGGAGAGAATTTCCATTAATTGTGGCATAATTGAGCCTAGGTCGCTACCCCTTTGGGCTTTGGTTAGTAAATCGACTTTAATTAGTCATCTGCGGTGCAGCTTAACATTAACTAAACTAAAATATCTACGAAACATGACATGCCAGGATCTCAAGATGAGACGACGCGACGCTTTAAAGTTAGGGTACGTAATTGCTATATCATTCAACCCTTATCCACGGATACAGGATGACATAGAACGGAAATGGATTATCGCGATAAATTCAGACATTCAATTTATCCTGTCTTTTAATAACGGCGATAACTTATATTATTAGGTAGGTACACTACGATTTCTTAAATTGGTATAGGTAGGTTGATTGTTGATACACAAATAAAAATAAACTAATCGTTCTTAAGCACAATAAAACGTACCGATACAAAAGGACAGAATTTCAAATTTATCTCACTACCCTTTCAATCTGTTAAAAAATATGTCTACAGAAGGGAAGAATCGATGCATCATAATTGAACAAACTTACAGAATCTTGTAGCGTATAAAGACTAAGCCAAAAAGATGGAAACCATGTTGGAGGGTATTGCGATAAATTTAGGGTTTTGCAAGAATTACAATTGAATTTACGTTGAGAAAATGAAAATGGCCTCTCTTATACTTGTGCATATCCGTCGGCAATGGAACTGGGTTAAATCCGGGGCGCATTAACTGAATGCTGGGGAATACATGACTGCTTCTAAAGTTCTTAAGTGCTGCGGTGATCGTTAAGGAGAAACAAATGTAAAATTGGGTGTACAACAGAAAAGTTCTGAAAAACTTGAAACAACCAAGTAGTTAGACAACAATTTAGAAAAATTCCGAAGATTGTGGCACGTGTACAGGGTGTTCCAAATTCCAGGGTGACTATTGGGATCTCGGAAATCGTAAAAGAAGGAACCTCGGTTAAACGGAGGCAAAGTTGCGCAATTTGGGGCCGAACCTATCGCTGCTTCTGAACTAAAGGAATACTTTCGAAGGCAACCAGAAAAGTTGTCTCCTGCAAGCTGGCATTGTTAGATTTTTAAGTCCAACGTTTCGGTTTTCTAGAACTATCATTGCTTTTATGCTTTCAAACAAGGCCTTAAATTTTTTTCTTTTGAAAGTGCTCGTCACCCGAAAAAATACATGAACACACTTGATTAGGGACTAAAAACTACCACCTTAAAATTGGCAGTAAATCAAAATGTACAGTACTATTTCTTAATATATTGCTGTGTGCAATGGTAAGCGGTCAACTACACCACCCACTAAACACCTCTCCATGTAGCTCAAACAAAACAAAATTGAAGCTTATGATCGCTGCTCGTGCACTTTCGGCATCTGCCACAAAGAAAAATTCCCATATGGACTTAAATTAACTTCTGAAAATTCCAAAGGATAAACTACACAAATTTTCATTAATACCTGACATAAATCTTGAACACGAAAAGAAAAATCTGACATGGGTCGCGCAATGGGTTCGAATAAACACATGACTGACAATGACATTTTATTCCGAAACACATGAAAAGGACAATAAACAAAATTCCTGAAAGAAAGAGAAGCTTCCACAGCTTGCTTGGACAAATTAGAAAATATGAAAATAAAAAAATTACTTAACTTTTTCTCTTTTAATAATCTTAATAATAGTTCAGTTGTTTGCGATAAATAAGGCGCACTTAACTCGACACATAAACGCTGACAGTTACCGAACTTCACTTTTCTTTAACACACACTCTTGATGACAAACAACATTAACTCTATGAATAAATTGATTGTGGCTATTCAGACGGTACAAACGTTTAACTTTCATAAAAAGAGAACCTTGACAGGAGGCTTCACGGTACACTAAACTAATTGCTTTTTTAATTTGACTTTCTGAATACGGACAACAACGTTAGTTAACTTGCTTCTGCACAAACTTAGTATAATAATGACAAGCTACGAATTCAACTAATCAAATTAAATAAATAGCGTAAAACGTACACGCTTTCCAACCGTCGCGAAACCAGGTAGTAGCAGCCCCCTCCACACAGTATTTGACGAAACGCCACGTCCGTAATAAAATAAATCTCCCTCCTCCGGTTTTTTACAAATAAAACACGAATCATAATTAACCTTGATTTAGCTTCGACAGAACTTGTCCCCACTTACGCCGAACTAATGCACACATCGTTAAACACCTTCATAAGGCGTTACCTCTTCTAACAGTGATAAAAACACGTCCGTTAATTAAATTTTGTTCGATAATAAAATTTCTTATCGCAAACGACCAGATGAGCCTATATTTAAACACGCAATTTTACGTTTTACACGAGGTTTTACAATTAAATAACAACATCTAAATAAACAATGTGCAATTAAAAACAAATCCAAAAGGAAAAACACTACAGAAAAACAAAGGCAAATGAAATAAACCAATTCTGTGCTTATTCGTAAATATACCCCTCTTTCTCCAGGTTTACTGTTGATAAAAAACTTATGTCATACACAGGGTGTTCCGTCATTATTTTAGGTGTGTAGCGAAATAACGTCTGCAAGACATTGCTTACATACCAAAAAAAGTTCCTAAAATTGAAAAACCTATGAGTAGGTAGTAAGTGCGAAAGAATTAAGTGACAGAATTAATACGATATTCCTTATAGCGATGGAAATCTAAATTGTCAAAACTGGGTAATTATTAACATTATTAATGTAATTTTGCAAATTTAGCTCCTTGAAATTTTCAATTAATGTTCAAAAATTTTCCCATGTGTCCTGCATCCCGGACTTTCCCTAAGTATTTTTTGAATCGTTACCTGTGCAGTTGTCGAAAAATTTAAGTGGTTTTTAAAGGTTGTTTACTGCCGAAAATTATGGAGGTTCCACAGAATGTGGCCCTACAGGTAGAAGAAGCCAAAGCAAATTACTCACATTGTAGTGCAAACACACTTGTGACAAGGAGTACGAATACCACATCCACATTTAGTCAATTGATAGCATTTCTGGGAGTTAAATCATTCCCAAAAAATTGAAAATTTTGGACAAATATTAAGTGTTAGTTTTTATAAGAAAAGTTTCAAATGTTGGCGCTTGTTTTTTAGCGTAACACAACGAAGTTGAGGTAAAGCTTATGTGCTCGTGTTTCCGTCCGTCCGTCCGTCCGTCCGTTCCATCGAGATCTCGGCCCCTGGGCCACCTAGAGACTTCGGGTTTTCGCTAATTGATAGCTGTTATGGTCTATATTTGCCCATTTCGATCAGTTTCATTTAACTCCATATTTTGCGCAGACTGCGCAATGCCAACTTTCATATTTATGGAGATATTTCTTTGAAATTTTAACCACAGATGCTTCTAGTAAAGGCAAACATTTCGCACATGGTAAAAATTATGTGGACATGCGCAGTGACTGCGCAATGCTAACTTTCTTATTTATTGAGATATTTCTTTGAAATTTTAACCACAGATGCTTCTAGTAAAGGCAAACATTTTGCACATAGTAAAAATTATGTGGGCATTGCGCAGTCAAATGTCAACATTCTTATTTATGGAGATATTTCTTTGAAATTTTAACGCACAGATGCTTCTAGTAAAGGCAATCATTTCGCACATGGTAAAAATTATGTGGACATGCGCAGTGACTGCACAGACTGCTCATAGCCAACTTTCTTATGTGTGGTAAGTTCTTTGAAACTTTATTTTACTTATTTAACCCCTCTCTTTCTCTGGACGTGGATGTACTTCAATATACAGATTCGACATTTTGTGTACTTTCGATGACGATGCATCGTTTCAATACTTTGTGTTACGCGGCAATACCCACGAGTGGGTTTTGGAACATTTTTTTTTTAGTTTACGCGTACAGCCTTATAAAAAGAATACCACTCTAAATCGTTTTTAAGCGATTTTCTCAGTAATGGTGTGAAATCCCCTTCAATTGTTCTAAATCGGGTTAACGATATCACTTATTTTCAGAATCCTTGTTTAGAATTTTATTGGCGAATTGTAACGGACGGTTACAAATAAAAAGGTGGTTCGGTAATTCTTCACCGCAGAAGGGTGTCCATTTGTATTGGTATCTCACGAAGGGGTGAAGATTTTCTTAGGTTCGTGGTGCAAGTTCTTCTAGCAATTTGTCTTCTTTGTTGTTGTAGGTAGTACTTTTGGAACTTACCTTTCTGTACTTTTACTTCCACCTAGCTCAGTTGAAAAATGGTATCTGGATTCTGGATTACGATAGGAGGGTGAACAGTGTCCACGCGTACTTAGGCCTCAAATTCGGGCCCTTTGTACTACCTCCCTGACTAGGGTCGCCCGACCCCTCAGCATCACTCAAGCCATCCCACACGTGAGATGAACCTTAGGACGCTGGAAGGGGAGGCGGCTCTAATCGTAGCCATGTCCGGCCAGGATTCCCCCAACATGGATCTCTCTGGTCTCAGTTGGACTAGAGCGGGACATTCACAGAGTATGTGGTATGCCGTCTCGTCGTCTGTGTAACATCCTCTACAAGATGGTGATTCCACCAAACCCATGCAGTGCATGTGCTTGTTTAGTTTACAGTGCCCAGAAAGTATGCCCACGAGTAACCTCAGGTTCTTCCTTGATAGCCCTGTACAAAAACGCGCCAAGCTACGAGATGGTCCTCTGAAGGCTTCTCTCGCATGGCGACAATCTAACATCAAGTTCCACCTAGCCCTGTGCTGGGTTTGGGTGTCTTGAGTTATTAGGTTGTTTACAGTTTTAACTGTAAGTGGAAGAGCCGG